AGGCTGCAGCATAACACTGATAAAAGTGAAGGGGGTCTGAATACTTTATGAATGCTCTCCAAGACCAAGTAAGGGTGAAACGTGCCTGAGACGGGCAGTCTTGCTTTGATGACTGAATAAAAATGTACTTGGGCAAGTGACGTCATTGGTGTGCATCTTCTCGGAGAACGGACATGTTCCTTAGAGAGGCAGCCAGTCGGCTTTACAACATGGAGGCCTGGAACCGTGACTCCTACATGACTCGCCGAAAGTGATATTCCAGGACTCAAAAACACTGACCCCCTTCTCCAACCTACCCTTCAGGGTGGCTGAGAACACCACAGCTTTGGAGCAAGACACTCAACCAACTCATCCTACCCAACCAATCCATCCTACCCAACCAACCCATCCTACCCAACCAACCCATCCTACTCAACCAACTCATCATACCTAACCAACTCATCCTACCCAACCAATCCATCCTACCCAACCAACCCATCCAACTCAACCTACCCAACCAACTCATCCTACCCAACCAATCCATCCTACCCAACCAACTCATCCTACCCAACCAACCCATCCTACCCAACCAACTCATCCTACCCAACCAACCCATCCTACTCAACCAACTCATCCTACCCAACCTGTATGGACTCCAACATCCTGGGGTACACCGTTCACCAACTGGGCCCTGGAAATCACCCTGGGCAACCAAGAAAACACAGCACTGGACACCTCAAACAGCCAATAAGGAGCGCACACAGCCGGCCATCTGATTTTAAATTAACAGCGTAATGTTTAATAACGGAAATATATAAATATGAATGTAAACATTGGGAACTGGAACGTGCAAGTGTGCAGTATCGGCCTCCCCGTGGCATTTCGGCATCGTTCTACTCTACCACGATGACGTCATCTGCAGAGGAATTCAGGATGTCTGTTAAAAGTGAGAGAAAAACAGAATTATAAAATGAGCCTGGAAGCCTGCTGTGGCCATTATGAGGGGTTCCCACCATCCCTGTGCTGAGTTCCCGGGTCTGTACACCCGCTGTGTCCATTATGAGGGGTTCCCACCATCCCTGTGCTGAGTTCAAGTCTGTACACCCGCTGTGCCCATTGTGAGCAGTTCCCGCCATCCCTTTGCCAAATTCTTGGCTCTGTACTCCCGCTGTGCCCATTATGAGGGGTTCCCACCATCCCTGTGCCGAGTTCCCGGGTCTGTACACCCGCTGTGCCCATTATGAGGGGTTCCCGCCATCCCTGTGCAGAGTTCCCGGGTCTGTACACCCGCTGTGCCATTATGAGGGGTTCCCACCATCCTTGTGCTGAGTTCCCGGTCTGTACACCCGCTGTGCCCATTATGAGGGGTTCCCACCATCCCTTTGCTGAGTTCCCGGGTCTGTACGCCCGCTGTGCCCATTATGAGGGGTTCCCACCATCCCTGTGCAGAGTTCCCGGGTCTGTACACCCGCTGTGCCCATTATGAGGATTTCCCACCATCCCTGTGCCGAGTTCCCAGGTCTGTACACCCGCCGTGCCCATTTAGAGGGGTTCCCACCATCCCTGTGAGGAATTCCCGGGTCTGTACACCCACTGTGCCCATTAGGATGGGTTCCCACCATCCCTGTAAGGAGTTCCGGGTCTGTACACCCACTGTGCCCATTATGAGGGGTTCCCACCATCCCTGTGCCGAGTTCCCGGGTCTGTACACCTGCTGTGCCCATTACGAGGGTTTCCCACCATCCCTGTGCTGAGTTTCTGGGTCTGTGCCCATTATGAGACAGCAGGCCTAATACATCATTTCTGGCTGGACGACCTTTTTGAATAAGAATTATGAAAGCAGAGGAGAAGAAAAGAGGTAGAGAACTCAGTCAGCAACTTCCATGTGTCCACCATAAACCGAAAAACGAGAGTGAGAAGGAAAGTTGAGAGGTCCAATCTCCAGATAACAGAGATAAGTGGTGACATCACACGGTGTACCGGAGTTGGCGGAGGCTGGCTTTGCCTCATCTTGGACCGTTCCGCTCTCCTCCTCGCTGTCGGAGCTGATGGTGATGACCTCCTTGGAGGAGGTAAAGATGGAGCTGCTGGTGGACACGTCATCTGTCATGTAGTAGAAGCAGCCCCGGGGGGAGTAGATGCTGCTGTCCTCCATGGATGACACGAGGCTGGCACCTTCAGAGGCCGTGCAGGTGGAGCAGTCGGTGGAGGTCGTGAGGGAGGAGAAGGAGGAATCCACCGAGGCCGATTGGCTGGAGGGGGCGGCCGATTGGCTGGAGGGGGCGGCTGATGAGGTGGAGTTGGAGGAAGCGGTGGCAGAGTGGTCACTGTTGCTCAGGCAGATTTTGGACATGTTCTGCTCCAAGCTGTCCGTCTTGGTGGATGTTTCCAGGTGAGGTGGTGGAGACAAGGTGCTGGCCAGCTTCAGCTCCGGGCTGCGATTCACATCCGCCCGTGTCACTTCGATGGAATCATCTGGCGGGTAGGTACGTCAGTTACATCCAGATTCTCCTCCCCCACTGACCACCCATGTGAAGGGTTTTCTACTTCCAAAAGGTGACCAACCAAAACAGACACAACCTGGGATTTACATATCTCACCTCTTCTAGATCAGCCCTACACCCACCTTGGAAGGGTTAAAGCCCAACCTGGGAGGTGCCATGGCAGATCCTTCCTGCTGGCCTTCACCCCAACTTCTGGTCAGGGGATGTGCACTGTGAACGTGGTATGGTCTGATAGACTGGGACTGCATGTCCCATGATTCCTTGTGCATGGCACCCAAGCTGGCACATAATGGTAAGGTCTCCCACCACACTGCACATGCACACCCTAAGCAGGGCACAACCACAAAGATACCGCCCACACTTTTGCATGCGTGTCACTAGCATGCCACCCACGTGGGTATAATAAGAACCCAAGCCACGCTTACACATGCGCACCCCCAAGCAGGGACAATAAGGACCTCGGCTACACTGCACTTCCTAAGCACAGCTTGGCACTCACATCCCAAGCACCACACCCAACCAGGCACAATGATAGGGACAACAGACCCAATGCGTGCCCTAAGCATGGTACCCAAGCAGGCACAATGTGAAGAGCCCCAGCCCCAATGTGCCCTAAGCATGGTACCCAAGCAGGCACAATGTGAAGAGCCCCAATGTGTGCCCTAAGCATGGTACCCAAGCAGGCACAATGTGAAGAGCCCCAATGTGTGCCCTAAGCATGGTACCCAAGCAGGCACAATGCGAAGAGCCCCAGCCCCAATGTCTGCCCTAAGCATGGTACCCAAGCAGGCACAATGCGAACAGCCCCAGCCCAATGTGACCCTAAGCATGGTACCCAAGCAGGCACAATGTGAAGAGCCCCAATGTGTGCCCTAAGCATGGTACCCAAGCAGGCACAATGCGAAGAGCCCAAATGTGTGCCCTAAGCATGGTACCCAAGCAGGCACAATGCGAAGAGCCCCAATGTGTGCCCTAAGCATGGTACCCAAGCAGGCACAATGCGAAGAGCCCCAATGTGTGCCCTAAGCATGGTACCCAAGCAGGCACAATGTGAAGAGCCCCAGCCCCAATGTGTGCCCTAAGCATGGTACCCGAGCAGGCACAATGTGAAGAGCCCCAATGTGTGCCCTAAGCATGGTACCCAAGCAGGCACAATGTGAAGAGCCCCAATGTGTGCCCTAAGCATGGTACCCAAGCAGGCACAATGTGAAGAGCCCCAATGTGTGCCCTAAGCATGGTACCCAAGCAGGCACAATGTGAAGAGCCCCAATGTGTGCTTAAAGCATGGTACCCAAGCAGGCACAATGTGGAGAGCACCAATGTGTGCTCTAGGCATGGTACCCAAGCAGGCACAATGTGAAGAGCCCCAGCCCCAATGTGTGCCCTAAGCATGGTACCCAAGCAGGCACAATGTGAAGAGCCCCAATGTGTGCCCTAAGCATGGTACCCAAGCAGGCACAATGTGAAGAGCCCCAGCCCCAATGTGTGCCCTAAGCATGGTACCCGAGCAGGTACAATGTGAAGGATCCCAGCCCCAATGTGTGCTTAAAGCATGGTACCCAAGCAGGCACAATGTGGAGAGCCCCAATGTGTGCTCTAGGCATGGTACCCAAGCAGGCACAATGTGAAGAGCCCAACCCCAATGTGTGCCCTAAGCATGGTACCTGAGTGGGCACATTGATAAGGACGATGGCCACAATGCGCATGAGTGACCTAAGCACAGTACCCGAGCATGGACATAACGAGACACCCAGTCGGAAGCAAGCACATCAGGGTGGCTCCAGTGTGAGCCTGCAAGGCAACGTAGCCACCATTGGAGGGTCTGAACACTTTAATCGCCACACTCGCCTTATTAGAGGCAGTATAGGTTGTCTTTTTTTTTGGGGGGGGGGGGGGGTGCGATTCATGCACTCAGAGACGGTGACGATAACCCCGGTGCCGAATGCCGCTTACCAGACTCCAGCCGGTGCTCCTCCTGTAGCTTGACGAAACTGGTGGGTTCTGGCTTCTCAGACATGCTGGTGACTTCCGCCTGTTGGGGTGGACATTGATTGAGTCTCTGCAGGGGGACGCGGCCATTTGTGAGAATTCATGGATGAGAATGTTCCTTACCAAAAGTCGGGATACCAGCGACTCATCATCGTCAGACTTCACGGGACTTGTCCGGTGCTCTACTGCAAGTCCCAGACGAATGAGTTCCTGACCGATATCCAGCATCTGCAACAAGGAGAGTCAGGCCTGAGACCACATAGGGGGGGAGTGCTGGAGGACCCAATCTGATTGTCTCTGGCCCGCCCCCTTTCATTCTTTGGATTTCAGTTCTTCCAATCATGGAGGCTCGGCCTCGCATGTGGATGTTACCTATGCAAATACAGCCCGCCTAGGAACGCCCACTCTTAGACTGACACACACCCAGTCGAGGAATTCTGATATTAGGATAACTCCTCCCACTGCTTGAATCAGGACTGAGGGCTCTTGGGAGAATTGAATGGTTTGGAGGAGGGGAGCTACGTACCTCTAGATAGCCAAGATTAAACCAAGAGTGTCTCCACTCACCGGGTCCCTGGATGGGTCGAATAGCTGGATCTGAAAATGGGAGGCCCCCGGGGATGGGAAACTGGCTATCTTGGCCAACAGGGGTTTCCATTTAGCACAGTGCGCCAAGGTATCAAACCTGTCCATAGCCTCGTCTGTCCACTTCCCACCTGCCACAAGACACAGACATTGGAATGAGCCGACGATTCGATACGACAAGATTGCGGCTACAGATGACCGCTTGCGACTCACCGCTTGGAGCGACATATGCGAGGCCACATTCCACCGCCTGGAACGGCAAACTGAGAAAGTCGCTCCTGAAAGAAAAGACATACATCATTCAAAGGAGATAAATGGACTCATTCACATGGGCATGGGGGCCTGTAGTCCACTAATCATAATTGCAAGATCTGGCTCACGACATAGACCTGGCTTACAATCAGCATTCCAAAGGTGTTCCGTAGGGTTGAGGTCAAAGCTCAAGTTCCTCCACGCCAAACTGGTCAAACCATGCCTCTATGGAGCTGGCTCCACTCTTCCGGGAATGTTTCCCCAGTTTGTGCCCATTAGTGAGGGAAGCTACTGATTTTGAATGAGAAAACCTGGCTTGTGTGCCACACGTTGGGCACCAAAAAAAGACATGGCTCACCATGGACATTTCAACTCATCCCAAAGGTGTTCAAGTTGGGTTGAGGTGAAAGCTCAAGTTCCTCCACACCAAAATGGTCGAACCATGTCTCTATGGAGCTGGCTCCTCTCTTCTGGGAATGTTTCCCCCAGTTTGTGCCCATTAGTGAGGGAAGGTACCGATTTTGGATGAGAAGACCTGGGCTTGTGTGCCACACGTTGGACACCAAAAAAAAGCCTGGATCACCATCAATGTTCCAATTCAACCCAAATGTGTTCAGTAGGGTTGAGGTTGAAACCTTTCCTCCACACCAAACTGATCAAACCATGTCTTTATTGGGCCACCAAAAAAAAATTTGTACTCATTAGTGAGGGCAGGTATTGGAGAAGACTTGGCTTGTGTGCCACACAACAAAAAAGACACCATGGACATGGCAAAAAGCTCAAGTTCCTGCAGGCCAAACAAACCATGCCAGGAGCTGGCTCCACTCTCCCCCATTTGTGCCAGCATACCGATTTTGATAAGACCTGGGCTTGTGTGCCACACGTGGGACACCAAAAAAAAGCCTGGATCACCATCAATGTTCCAATTCAACCCAAATGTGTTCAGTAGGGTTGAGGTTGAATTGGAACTCCAGTTGGGCACCAAAAAAATGATATGGCACACAACATGTGGCAAACAAGCCAGGTCTTCTCATCCAGCATAGATATCTGCCTCTACTTAGGAGCACAATTGATCAAACTGATCAAACCATGTCTTTATTGAGCTGGCTCCACTCTTCTAGGAATGTTTCCTAAAATTTGTACTCAGTGTGGGCAGGTACAGATGTTGAATGAGAAGACCTGGCTTGTGTGCCACACATTGGGCAACAAAAAAAGACCTGGCTCACCATGGACATTTCAACTCATCCCAAAGGTGTTGGAGTAGGGTTGAGGTGAAAGCTCAAGTTCCTCCAGGCCAAACTGATCAAACCATGTCTCCATGGAGCTGGCTCCACTCTTCCGGGAATGGTTCCCCCAGTTTGTGCCCATTATTGAGGGACAGTACCGATTTTGGATAAGACCTGGGCTTGTGTGCCACACGTTGGACACCAAAAAAAGCCTGGATCACCATCAATGTTCCAATTCAACCCAAATGTGTTCAGTAGGGTTGAGGTCTGTGGAGGACACCTGAGTTCCTCCACACCAAACTGGTCAAAACATGTCTTTATAGAGGCCGTAGATACTTGCCTTTGACTGGTATCTTGTTGGTGTTATATAACTGTTTTTGTATTTTATGTGCCTTTAATGGCCCTTATGTGGGCGTGTCTTTTGCTCTAGTTTTCCTTTGTTAAATTGTTTAAAAAAAAGTTAATAAAACATGTCTTTATAGAGCGAAGGCCACTCTTCTGGGAATGCTTCCCACAATTTTTGCCTATTAGTGAGGGCAGGTACTGATGTTGAGCTATACGAGATAATAATATGTGTATATACCTGAAAATCAAAAAAACAATCTCTCTCTCTTGCTCCTCCGGTAGGGCGTCATATGACGTCCTTCCCGGATCACACTTTACGCGTGCCCGCCTTTAGGATGAATTGGAACTCCAGTTGTGTGCCATATCTTGTTTTTGGTGCCAAACTGGAGTTCCAATTCATCCTAAAGCTGTTCAGTAGGGTTGAGGTCAGGACTCAGGAGTTCCTCCACATCAAACTGGTTAAACTAGGAATACTTCTCACAAATTGTGCTCCTAAGTAGAGGCAGATATCTATGCTGGATGAGAAGACCTGGCTTGTTTGCCACAAATTGTGCTCCTAAGTAAGATATCTATGCTGGATGAGAAGACCTGACTTGTTTGCCACATGTTGTGTGCCATATCTTTTTTCAGTTCCCAACAAGCCAGGTCTTCTCATCCAGCATAGATATCTTACTTAGGAGCACAATTTGTGGGAAGTATTCCTAGTTTAACCAGTTTGATGTGGAAGAACTCGGAGACCTGACCTCAACACTACTGAACACCTTTAGGATGAATTGGAACTCCAGTTGTGTGCCATATCTTTGTTTGGTGCCCAACTGGAGTTCCAATTCATCCTAAAAGGTGTTCAGTAGGGTTGAGGTCAGGACTCAGGAGTTCCTCCACATCAAACTGGTTAAACTAGGAATACTTCTCACAAATTGTGCTCCTAAGTAAGATATCTATGCTGGATGAGAAGACCTGGCTTGTTGGGAACCGAAAAAAGATATGGCACACAACATGTGGCAAACAAGCCAGGTCTTCTCATCCAGCATGGATATCTTACTTAGGAGCACAATTTGTGGGGAGTATTCCTAGTTTAACCAGTTTAATGTGGAGGAACTCCTGAGTCCTGACCTCAACCCTACTGAACACCTTTAGGATGAATTGGAACTCCAGTTGGGCACCAAAAAAAGATCTGGCACACAACTGGAGTTCCAATTCATCCTAAAGGCGGGCACGCGCTAAGCGTGATCCAGGAAAGACGTCATATGACGCCCTACCGGAGGAGCAAGAGAGAGATTTGTTTTTGGATTTTCAGGTATATACACATATTATTATCTCACATAGTACAACATCAGTACCTGCCCTCACTAATGGGCAAACGTTGTGGGAAGCATTCCCAGAAGAGTGGTCTTCGCTCTATAAAGACATGTTTTATTAACTTTTTTTTAAACAATTTAACAAAGGAAAACTAGAGCAAAAGACACGCCCACACAGGGGCCATTAAAGGCACATAAAATACAAAAACAGTTATATAACACCAACAAGATACCAGTCAAAGGCAAGTATCTACGGCCTCTATAAAGACATGTTTTGACCAGTTTGGTGTGGAGGAACTCAGGTGTCCACCACAGACGTGAACCCTACTGAACACGTTTGGGTTGAATTGAAACATTGATGGTGATCCAGGCTTTTATTGGTGTCCAACGTGTGGCACACAAGCCCAGGTCTTCTCATTCAACATCTGTACCTGCCCACACTGAGTAGAACTTTTAGGAAACATTCCTAGAAGAGTGGAGCCAGCTCAATAAAGACATGTTTTGATCAGTTTGATCAATTGTGCTCCTAAGTAGAGGCAGATATCCATGCTGGATGAGAAGACCTGGCTTGTTTGCCGCATGTTGTGTGCCATATCTTTTTATTGGTGCCCAACTGGAGTTCCAATTCATCTTAAAGGTGTTCAGTAGTGTTGAGGTCAGGACTCAGGAGTTCCTCCACATCAAACTGGTTAAACTAGGAATACTTCCCACAAATTGTGCTCCTAAGTAAAGGCAGATATCCATGCTGGATGAGAAGACCTGGCTTGTTTGCCGCATGTTGTGTGCCATATCTTTTTACGGTGCCCAACAAACCAGGTCTTCTCATCCAGCATAGATATCTTACTTAGGAGCACAATTTGTGGGAAGTATTCCTAGTTTAACCAGTTTGATGTGAAGGAACTCGGAGTCCTGACCTCAACCCTACTGAACACCTTTAGGATGAATTGGAACTCCAGTTGGGCACCAACCAAAGATATGGCACACAACTGGAGTTCCAATTCATCCTAAAGCTGTTCAGTAGGGTTGAGGTCAGGACTCAGGAGTTCCTCCACATCAAACTGGTTAAACTAGGAATACTTCCCACAAATTGTGCTCCCAAGTAGAGGCAGATATCTATGCTGGATGAGAAGACCTGGCTTGTTTGCCACATGTTGAGCACCAAAAAAATGACCTGGCTCACAATCACCATTCCAATTCATCCCAAATGTATTCAGTAGGGTTGCAGTCAGGGCTCTGTAGAGGACACTTGAGTTCCTCCACACCAAAACTGGACAAACCATGTCTTTACAGGGCTGGCTTGTACACGGGGGGGGGCACAGTCATGGTGGAACAGAAAAGGGTCTTCACCAAACTGTTACCACAAGGTTGGAAGAGCCCAATTGTCTCCAATGTCTTTGTATGATGGAGTATTACCAGGACCCTTCACTGGAGACACCTGAACTCCATCACTGGAGGGGAGCCCGCATACCCTTGGCTATATCATGAAAACACGTGACTTTAATCTAGCATTACCTCAGTATTAGTCACTAGTTGGCCCACAACTAGAATATGGTGGGAAGTTGGGGTTTGAACACTATACGTGGCAAGAAGAGAAGCATTTTAGAGATCTTAGATTCGGCAAATGAAATCATAAAAGGAATAAAGAGCTCACTTGCTGGCGTATTGGCCGGGGATGAATACATGACATGCGGCTAGGCAACAACCCACCTGCACTCACCTGAGTGGGAAGAGGTGCTCTTTTGGGCACGCCCAGTTGTCACCATAATCCACGTAGTACAAATCAACCACGTTGTTCTCCAGGAATCCCAGGACCTCCGCCCTGTACCAGAAATTGTCTTCACGGAACGGAGCTGCCACGATATCCCCCATCTGGATCTCCGGCATCTTTCCCTGGGAAAAGCAGCCACAATGACACCACGCCCGCCTTATGGTCAAAGCTCACCTGTCCAAGTGAAGGCGCTCACCCGCTTCTGTCTCAAGCAAAAGTCGCTCATCTCCGTGGTCAGCTTGTCGAGCTGCGAGGCCCGGGAGCCGAGGATCTGGATCCAGAAATGTTCCGGGTTCTCCGAGGCGGACACGCAGACATCGACGTACTCGCCGGCACGGAAGTTGAAGTCCGGGCTGGGAACTGGAAGGGGACATTCAGACATATCAAGATCGAATACAGGTCGAATACATACTATTCGTGCTCCCCTCTGATTCTGGTTTGATTTCATCACCAAGACCTTTACTCATCTTTGGGTCTGCCATCCCCAGAGCCAAGCCCTGCCCCCACCGCATCCAATGATGGGATATAAAATGGCGGATATAAAGATGAGAGATGGGTGGCGCCCAGTCCTAGAGGCAGGCAGCTTTGGAAATCAGGTCCTTGGGTAAAGTGAAGTCAGAGAGGTGCACCCCCTCCCCCACCCCATGACACAACACATCATACAGAGTGCCCCCTACCCTCAAACTTGCAGATGTTGTATGTGCAGTCAGCGATATTTTGGGGCTCGTTGTCCTCGGCCAGCCTTTCCTCCGGAGACTCGGCCGTGTGGAAACTGTCTGGGGAGCGGTCCGTGTTCGGGGTGACGCACTCCTCGGCGGGGGGGCTGCTTGTCTTTCTTCTTTACGGCGATTATACTCTTCCTGTGCGACCGGAAGTTGGAGGAAACGGCAGCATTTTTCAAGATGGAGGCTTCTTCTTCCACCACTTTCTGGATTAGGGTCTGTCCGCGAGGATGGAAAAAAGATTGCGTTGGGTACGAAGAAGTACAGAGATACCTCCCTCTGTTCACACCTCCCGCCCTGATCAGCGTGCCAATGAAAATGTTCAAAAGACATCACTACTGGGTCTTTCTGCTGGTCTTTGCTCCATAGTAAGAGCCAATTTTGTGGGGGTGGGGAGGCTCTTGTAAAAAGGCACAGCACCCTGCCTGGATCATTACATGAAAACACACGCATGGCATCCCTTTGGACATGCATGTCCCTTCCCTGCTGGCCACTGCAAACTTCAGCTGTGCAATCTGTTGATCAGTCGCTTGATTACACTCCAGTTGAGTGATCAGCAGATTGCACAGCTAAGGTCTGCAGTGACCAGCAGGAAGGAGCATGCAGGTAAAAAGGGACGTGGCCTATGGAGATCAGCATTAAGTCAGCTTATGCACCTTGGCGGCCTCCACTTGCTTCAGCGACCCGGTAACGGTGATGCACCTTGCCAGGTCCAAGTTGCTGTCTGGCTGGCACTCGCACTCGATTTTGGCTCCGGATGTTTTACTTATGTCCCGAATCTTCTGTCCTCCTTTTCCTAAAACCAATGGGACGGAAATGGGTCACGGCCTCATATGAACACCACGGCCTCAACGTGTGACTACAGGAATCTGAGAAGACCTAAGAGGGCAGATCTGTATCTCTATGTATGAGCGTTCGATATCCCTGTACAATCTTTATTCGTCAGTGTCACTATTACAGAGCGACCTAGTGACCCCATCAACCCTCTTTTATGGCTCTGATACTTTCCAAGTAATGACTACACAAGGCAAAGTTCCACACGGAGGAACCTCCCCTCATCTCCCAACAGGAACTCCCAGAAATTCTCAATAGATTCCTCTATATAGATCTATCACTAGAGGGGTCCCCGGCAGGAGGTCCTGATTCCTCTATATAGACCTAGAGGGGTCACCAGCAGGAGGTCCTGATTCCTCTATATAGACCTAGAGGGGTCACCGCAGGAGGAAGGAGGTCCTGATTCCTCTCTATATAGAACCTATCATTAGAGGGGTCACCGGCAGGAGGAAGGAGGTCCTGATTCCTCTATATAGATCCTATCATTAGAGGGGTCACCGGCAGGAGGAAGGAGGTCCTGATTCCTCTATATAGACTTAGAGGGGTCACCGGCAGGAGGAAGGAGGTCCTGATTCCTCTTGATATACCTAGAGGGGTCACCAGCTGGAGGAAGGAGGTCCCAATTCCTCTATATATCACTAGAGGGGTCACCAGCAGGAGGAAGGAGGTCCTGATTCCTCCTTATATCACTAGAGGGGTCACCAGGAGGTCCTGATTCCTCTATATAGACCTAGAGGGGTCTATATAGGAAGGAGGTCCTGATTTCTCTACATAGATCCTATCACTAGAGGGGTCACCGGCAGGAGGAAGGAGGTCCTGATTCCTCAATATAGATCTAGAGAGGTCACCAGCAGGAGGAAGGAGGTCCCGATTCCTCAATATAGACCTAGAGGGGTCCCCGGCAGGAGGTCCTGATTCCTCTATATAGATCTTTATATCACTAGAGGGGTCACCGGCGGGAGGAAGGAGGTCCTGATCCCTCTATATAGATCTTTATATCACTAGAGGGGTCACCGGCAGGAGGAAGGAGGTCCTGATTCCTCTATATAGACCTAGAGGGGTCCCCGGTAGGAGGTCCTGATTCCTCTATATAGATCTAGAGGGGTCACCAGCAGGAGGAAGGAGGTCCTGATTCCTCTATATAGATCTTTATATCACTAGAGGGGTCACCGGCAGGAGGTCCTGATTCCTCTATATAGATCTAGAGGGGTCACCAGCAGGAGGAAGGAGGTCCCGATTCCTCTATATAGACCTAGAGAGGTCACTGGCAGGAGGAAGGAGGTCCTGATTCCTCTATATAGATCCTATCACTAGAGGGGTCACCAGCGGGAGGAAGGAGGTCCTGAATCCTCTATATAGACCTAGAGGGGTCACCGGCAGGAGGAAGGAGGTCCTGATTCCTCCTTATATCACTAGAGGGGTCACCAGGAGGTCCTGATTCCTCTATATAGACCTAGAGGGGTCTATATAGGAAGGAGGTCCTGATTTCTCTACATAGATCCTATCACTAGAGGGGTCACTGGCAGGAGGAAGGAGGTCCTGATTCCTCAATATAGATCTAGAGAGGTCACCAGCAGGAGGAAGGAGGTCCCGATTCCTCAATATAGACCTAGAGGGGTCCCCGGCAGGAGGTCCTGATTCCTCTATATAGATCTAGAGGGGTCACCAGCAGGAGGTCCTGATTCCTCTATATAGACCTAGAGGGGTCTCCAGCAGGAGGAAGGAGGTCCTGATTCCTCTATATAGATCTTTATATCACTAGAGGGTCACCGGCAGGAGGAAGGAGGTCCTGATTCCTCTATATAGATCCTATCACTAGAGGGGTCACCGGCAGGAGGAAGGAGGTCCTGATTCCTCTATATAGATCCTATCACTAGAGGGGTCACCGGCAGGAGGAAGGAGGTCCCGATTCCTCTATATAGATCTTTATATCACTAGAGGGGTCACTGGCAGGAGGAAGGAGGTCCCGATTCCTCTATATAGACCTAGAGGGGTCACTGGAAGGAGGTCCTGATTCCTCTATATTGATCTTTATATCACTAGGGGGGTCACCAGCAGGAGGAAGGAGGTCCTGATTCCTCTACATAGACCTAGAGGGGTCACCGGCAGGAGAAAGGAGGTCCTGATTCCTCTTTATATCACTAGAGGGGTCACCGGCAGGAGGAAGGAGGTCCCGATTCCTCTACATAGACCTAGAGGGGTCACCGGCAGGAGGTCTTGATTCCTCTATATAGATCCTATCATTAGAGGGGTCACCGGCAGGAGGAAGGAGGTCCTGATTCCTCTATATAGATCTTATCATTAGAGGGGTCACCGGCAGGAGGAAGGAGGTCCTGATTCCTCTATATAGACTTAGAGGGGTCACCGGCAGGAGGAAGGAGGTCCTGATTCCTCTTGATATACCTAGAGGGGTCACCAGCTGGAGGAAGGAGGTCCCAATTCCTCTATATATCACTAGAGGGGGTCACCAGCAGGAGGAAGGAGGTCCTGATTCCTCCTTATATCACTAGAGGGGTCACCAGGAGGTCCTGATTCCTCTATATAGACCTAGAGGGGTCTATATAGGAAGGAGGTCCTGATTTCTCTACATAGATCCTATCACTAGAGGGGTCACCGGCAGGAGGAAGGAGGTCCTGATTCCTCAATATAGATCTAGAGAGGTCACCAGCAGCAGGAGGAAGGAGGTCCCGATTCCTCAATATAGACCTAGAGGGGTCCCCGGCAGGAGGTCCTGATTCCTCTATATAGATCTTTATATCACTAGAGGGGTCACCGGCGGGAGGAAGGAGGTCCTGATCCCTCTATATAGATCTTTATATCACTAGAGGGGTCACCGGCAGGAGGAAGGAGGTCCTGATTCCTCTATATAGACCTAGAGGGGTCCCCGGTAGGAGGTCCTGATTCCTCTATATAGATCTAGAGGGGTCACCAGCAGGAGGAAGGAGGTCCTGATTCCTCTATATAGATCTTTATATCACTAGAGGGGTCACCGGCAGGAGGTCCTGATTCCTCTATATAGATCTAGAGGGGTCACCAGCAGGAGGAAGGAGGTCCCGATTCCTCTATATAGACCTAGAGAGGTCACTGGCAGGAGGAAGGAGGTCCTGATTCCTCTATATAGATCCTATCACTAGAGGGGTCACCAGCGGGAGGAAGGAGGTCCTGAATCCTCTATATAGACCTAGAGGGGTCACCGGCAGGAGGAAGGAGGTCCTGATTCCTCCTTATATCACTAGAGGGGGGTCACCAGGAGGTCCTGATTCCTCTATATAGACCTAGAGGGGTCTATATAGGAAGGAGGTCCTGATTTCTCTACATAGATCCTATCACTAGAGGGGTCACTGGCAGGAGGAAGGAGGTCCTGATTCCTCAATATAGATCTAGAGAGGTCACCAGCAGGAGGAAGGAGGTCCCGATTCCTCAATATAGACCTAGAGGGGTCCCCGGCAGGAGGTCCTGATTCCTCTATATAGATCTAGAGGGGTCACCAGCAGGAGGTCCTGATTCCTCTATATAGACCTAGAGGGGTCTCCAGCAGGAGGAAGGAGGTCCTGATTCCTCTATATAGATCTTTATATCACTAGAGGGGTCACCGGCAGGAGGAAGGAGGTCCTGATTCCTCTATATAGATCCTATCACTAGAGGGGTCACCGGCAGGAGGAAGGAGGTCCTGATTCCTCTATATAGACCTAGAGGGGTCCCCGGTAGGAGGTCCTGATTCCTCTATATAGATCTAGAGGGGTCACCAGCAGGAGGAAGGAGGTCCTGATTCCTCTATATAGATCTTTATATCACTAGAGGGGTCACCGGCAGGAGGTCCTGATTCCTCTATATAGATCTAGAGGGGTCACCAGCAGGAGGAAGGAGGTCCTGATTCCTCTATATAGACCTAGAGGGGTCACTGGCAGGAGGAAGGAGGTCCTGATTCCTCTATATAGACCTAGAGGGGTCACCGGCAGGAGGAAGGAGGTCCTGATTCCTCTATATAGATTCTATCACTAGAGGGGTCACCAGTGGGAGGAAGGAGGTCCTGATTCCTCTATATAGACCTAGAGGGGTCACCAGCAGGAGGAAGGAGGTCCTGATTCCTCTATATAGATCCTATCACTAGAGGGGTCACTGGCAGGAGGAAGGAGGTCCTGATTCCTCTATATAGATCCTATCACTAGAGGGGTCACCGGCAGGAGGAAGGAGGTCCCGATTCCTCTATATAGATCTTTATATCACTAGAGGGGTCACTGGCAGGAGGAAGGAGGTCCCGATTCCTCTATATAGACCTAGAGGGGTCACTGGAAGGAGGTCCTGATTCCTCTATATTGATCTTTATATCACTAGGGGGTCACCAGCAGGAGGAAGGAGGTCCTGATTCCTCTACATAGACCTAGAGGGGTCACCGGCAGGAGAAAGGAGGTCCTGATTCCTCTTTATATCACTAGAGGGGTCACCGGCAGGAGGAAGGAGGTCCCGATTCCTCTACATAGACCTAGAGGGGTCACCGGCAGGAGGTCTTGATTCCTCTATATAGATCCTATCACTAGAGGGGTCACCGGCAGGAGGAAGGAGGTCCTGATTCCTCTTTATATCACTAGAGGGGTCACCGGCAGGAGGAAGGAGGTCTTGATTTCCTCTATATAGATCCTATCACTAGAGGGGTCACCGGCAGGAGGAAGGAGGTCTTGATTCCTCTATATAGATCCTATCACTAGAGGGGTCACCGGCAGGAGGAAGGAGGTCTTGATTCCTCTATATAGATCCTATCACTAGAGGGGTCACCGGCAGGAGGAGGAAGGACCCAATCAATGATATGTAAGTCAGCAGCACTATGATAGCCCCTCCACCACGGGTACTTCCCATCGGAGCTCCCGGAATCCTACCTATTATCCGGCACACAGATCTGGCCGGTAGGTGCAGCTCCACCTCTATGGTGGCATCATCCTGAAAGATTTCCGACAGCTGCTCCTGGGCCTGGCGCACGTGGGCGGGGCTCCCTGTGATCGTCAGCTCCTGGCGACCATCAGAGTCCATGACTTGGCTCAACTTGATACGAGTGGAAGTCCGTTTTGAGAACTGCGGGGAAGAGAGAAAGCTGTAGAGGAACCGGCACCATTCAGGGAAAAAACAAAAAAAACAGCCCCTTCAGGTCAGATCTAATCACTGCAAGCGCTATCACACATTACAGCCAATTCTCACCTGCTCCTATCCAGTAGGTACTGAGGGGCCATCACACTGCACCTCCCTAAACCCTATAGAACGAGACGGTCTGCTTCTCCTAGTATCATATGATCATTCCAATTTGGCAATAAGCTATACTGCACCACTGAGGACGTGCGCTACCCTGTTCAAGAACGTCTGTAGAGCGTTATGTGGAAGAACGCATGTCGCCCATACTTTTAGATATACATGTCCCAAGGAACTGATTTGCAGATTGCACAGCTAAAATCTGCAGCACCCAGTGGCCAGCAGAGAGGAGCATGCATGTCTAAAGGGATGCCAGAAATGTGTTCTTACATACAACACTCTTAAAAAGATAATCCAATATAAAAGGTGCAGTGGCCTACCTCCAACAGCTTTCTCTGCCATAGCTCATTTTTTGCGGTTTGTCATGCGTGGGTGTGATCTTTAAAGCTGGTATCAGTCGCTGTACTGCTCTTACCACGTATCAGATAAAAGAACACATCCCTTGCATCCCTTTAGATATGTATGCTCCTTCCTGCTGGCCACTGGGTGCTGCAGACCTGGGCTGTGCACTCTGTCACTGAGTAATCAAGCAATTGATTGGCACAACACAGAATGACCAGTAGGGAGGAGCATGCACATCTAAAGGGATGCTGGGATTGTGTTCTTTTCTATGACGATAGAGGCTGTGTGCGTTGACAAAAAGATCAGCAGACATCACTCAGCCTCAAAAAAGGTATGGCTTGAAAACAAAATTATTTAAAGAAAAAATGTTATTTGTACATTGAACGGGAGGGAGGGGCCTATATTACACCTCCGCTTTAAAAAGGACATAAAAAAAAAAAAAAAAGCACATAAAAGAATTCGCTGTCAGCAGGAGAAGCTCTCAGATCACACACAAAACTTTCAGGCTACCGTTTTGGAATTTTAGTGTCCCCCCCACTGGATGGGGGAGGAGGTGGAAGAGACCTCACCTGAATGATGACATCATCCCCTCCTGCCGAGAGCTGCTTTACAGCGTGTTGTGAAATCTTCATTCGAAGCTCATAGCCGTCCTCTGTGCTGTCCGGAGACGCCAGAGCTGTGGGAGGAGACAAGGACATGCAGGCTCAGTAGGGTGGTGGCCCCTCCCCCTATACATAGTGACCACTACCTACCACCATTGCCCCCCCCCCCTTCCATTCCTCCTATGGATAGTGCCCACTTCCTACCCTCACCCATTACTCCCCTTCCCCAATCCCTCCCATACATAGTGCCCACTTCCTACCCTCCCCCATTACTCCCTTCCCATCCCTCCCATACATAGTGCCCACTTCCTACCCTCCCCCATTACTACTCCCTTCCCATCCCTCCTATACGTAGTGCCCACTTCCTACCCTCCCCCCATTACTCCCTTCCCATCCCTCCTATACATAGTGCCCACTTCCTACCCTCCCCCCCATTACTCTCCCTTCCCATCCCTCCCATACATAGTGCCCACTTCCTACCCTCCCCCATTACTCCCTTCCCATCCCTCCCATACATAGTGCCCACTTCCTACCCTCCCCCATTACTCCCTTCCCATCCCTCCCATACATAGTGCCCACTTCCTACCCCCCCCCCATTACTACTCCCTTCCCATCCCTTCTATACATAGTGCCCACTTCCTGCCCCCCCCATCCCTCCTATACATAGTGCCCACTTCCTACCCCCCCATTACTCCCTTCCCATCCCTCCTATACATAGTGCCCACTTCCTACCCTCCCCCATTACTCCCTTTCCCATCCCTCCCATACATAGTGCCCACTTCCTACCCTCCCCCATTACTCCCTTCCCATCCCTCCTATACATAGTGCCCACTTCCTACCCATCCCCCATTACTCCTTCCCATCCCTCCTATACATAGTGCCCACTTCCTACCCTCCCCCATTACTCCCTTCCCATCCCTCCTATACATAGTGCCCACTTCCTACCCCCCCCCCCCATTACTACTACCCCTTCCCATCCCTCCTATACATAGTGCCCACTTCCTACCCCCCCCCCCCCCATTACTACTCCCTTCCCATCCCTTCTATACATAGTGCCCACTTCCTGCCCCCCCCCATCCCTCCTATACATAGTGCCCACTTCCTACCCCCCCATTACTTCCCTTCCCATCCCTCCTATACATAGTGCCCACTTCCTACCCTCCCCCATTACTCCCCTTCCCATCCCTCCTATACATAGTGCCCACTTCCTGCCCCCCCCCCATCCCTCCTATACATAGTGCCCACTTCCTACCCCCCATTACTCCCTTCCCATCCCTCCTATACATAGTGCCCACTTCCTATCCTCCCCCATTACTCCCTTCCCATCCCTCCTATACATAGTGCCCACTTCCTACCCCCCCCCCCCCCATTACTCCCTTCCCATCCCTCCTATACATAGTGCCCACTTCCTACCCCCCCCCCCCCCCCATTACTCCCTTCCCATCCCTCCAATACATAGTGCTCACTCCTAACCCCCCCCCCCCCCATTACTCCCTTCCCATCCCTCCTATACATAGTGCCCACTTCCTACCCCCCCCCCCCCCATTACTCCCTTCCCATCCCTCCTATACATAGTGCCCACTTCCTACCCTCCCCCATTACTCCCTTCCCGTCCCTCCTATACATAGTGCCCACTTCCTACCCCCCCATTACTCCCTTCCCATCCCTCCTATACATAGTGCCCACTTCCTACCCTCCCCATTACTCCCTTCCCATCCCTCCTATACATAGTGCCCACTTCCTACCCCCCCCCCATTTTACTCCCTTCCCATCCCTCCTATACATAGTGCCCCACTTCCTACCCTCCCCCATTACTCCCTTCCCCGTCCCTCCTATACATAGTGCCCACTTCCTACCCCCCCCATTACTCCCTTCCCATCCCTCCTATACATAGTGCCCACTTCCTGCCCCCCCCATCCCTCCTATACATAGTGCCCACTTCCTACCCCCCCCATTACTCCCTTCCCATCCCTCCTATACATAGTGCCCACTTCCTACCCCCCATTACTCTCCCTTCCCATCCCTCCTATACATAGTGCCCACTTCCTACCCCCCCATTACTCCCTTCCCATCCCCCCATACATAGTGCCCACTTCCTACCCTCCCCCATTACTCCCTTCCCGTCCCTCCTATACATAGTGCCCACTTCCTACCCCACCCCATTACTCTCCCTTCCCATCCCTCCTATACATAGTGCCCACTTCCTACCCCCCCATTACTCTCCCTTCCCATCCCTCCTATACATAGTGCCCACTTCCTACCCCCCCATTACTCCCTTCCCATCCCTCCCATACATAGTGCCCACTTCCTACCCTCCCCATTACTCCCTTTCCCGTCCCTCCTATACATAGTGCCCACTTCCTACCCCCCCATTACTCTCCCTTCCCATCCCTCCTATACATAGTGCCCACTTCCTACCCTCCCCCATTACTCCCCATACATAGTGCCCACTTCCTACCCTCCCCCATTACTCCCTTCCCATCCCTCCCATACATAGTGCCCACTTCCTACCCTCCCCCATTACTCCCTTCCCATCCCTCCTATACATAGTGACCACTTCCTACCCTCCCCCATTACTCCCCTTCCCATCCCTCCTATACATAGTGCCCACTTCCTACCCCCCCCCCCCAATACTACTACCTCCCATCCCATCCCTCCTATACATAGTGCCCACTTCCTACCCCCCCCCATTATACTACTCCCTTCCCATCCCTCCTATACATAGTGCCCACTTCCTGCCCCCCCATATCCCTCCTATACATAGTGCCCACTTCCTACCCTCCCCCATTACTCCCTTCCCATCCCTCCTATACATAGTGCCCACTTCCTGCCCCCCCCCCCATCCCTCCTATACATAGTGCCCACTTCCTACCCCCCCATTACTCCCTTCCCATCCCTCCTATACATAGTGCCACTTCCTATCCTCCCCCATTACTCCCTTCCCATCCCTCCTATACATAGTGCCCACTTCCTACCCCCCCATTACTCCCTTCCCATCCCTCCTATACATAGTGCCCACTTCCTATCCTCCCCCATTACTCCCTTCCCATCCCTCCTATACATAGTGCCCACTTCCTACCCCCCCCCCCATTACTCCCTTCCCATCCCTCCTATACATAGTGCCCACTTCCTACCCTCCCCCATTACTCCCTTCCCATCCCTCCTATACATAGTGCCCACTTCCTACCCCCCCCCCCCAATACTCCCTTCCCATCCTCCTATACATAGTGCCCACTTCCTACCCCCCCCCCCCCCCATTACTCCCTTCCCATCCCTCCTATACATAGTGCCCACTTCCTACCCTCCCCCATTACTCCCTTCCCGTCCCTCCTATACATAGTGCCCACTTCCTACCCTCCCCCATTACTCCCTTCCCGTCCCTCCTATACATAGTGCCCACTTCCTACCCTCCCCCATTACTCCCTTCCCATCCCTCCTATACATAGTGCCCACTTCCTGCCCCCCCATCCCTCCTATACATAGTGCCCACTTCCTACCCCCCCATTACTCCCTTCCCATCCCTCCTATACATAGTGCCCACTACCTACCCTCCCCCATTACTCCCTCTTCCCATCCCTCCTATACATAGTGCCCACTTCCTACCCTCCCCCATTACTCCCTTCCCGTCCCTCCTATACATAGTGCCCACTTCCTGCCCCCCCCCCATCCCTCCTATACATAGTGCCCACTTCCTGCCCCCCCCATCCCTCCTATACATAGTGCCCACTTCCTACCCCCCCATTACTCCCTTCCCATCCCTCCTATACATAGTGCCACTTCCTATCCTCCCCCATTACTCCCTTCCCATCCCTCCTATACATAGTGCCCACTTCCTACCCCCCCCCCCCCCATTACTCCCTTCCCATCCCTCCTATACATAGTGCCCACACTTCCTACCCTCCCCCCCATTACTCCCTTCCCATCCCTCCTATACATAGTGCCCACTTCCTACCCCCCCCCCCCCCATTACTCCCTTCCCATCCCTCCTATACATAGTGCCCACTTCCCTACCCCCCCCCATTACTCCCTTCCCATCCCCCCTATACATAGTGCCCACTTCCTACCCTCCCCCATTACTCCCTTCCCGTCCCTCCTATACATAGTGCCCACTTCCTACCCCCCATTACTCCCTTCTCCCTTCCCTCCTATACATAGTGCCCACTTCCTACCCTCCCCCATTACTCCCTTCCCATCCCTCCTATACATAGTGCCCACTTCCTACCCTCCCCCATTACTCCCTTCCCATCCCTCCTATACATAGTGCCCACTTCCTACCCTCCCCCATTACTCCCTTCCCATCCCTCCTATACATAGTGCCCACTTCCTACCCTCCCCCATTACCCTTCCCTTCCCATCCCTCCTTTACATAGTGCCCACTTCCTACCCTCCCCCATTACTCCCTTCCCATCCCTCCTATACATAGTTCCCACTTCCTACCCCCCATTACTCCCTTCCCATCCCTCCTATACATAGTGCCCACTTCCTGCCCCCCCCATCCCTCCTATACATAGTGCCCACTTCCTACCCCCCCATTACTCCCTTCCCATCCCTCCTATACATAGTGCCCACTTCCTACCCTCCCCCATTACTCCCTTCCCATCCCTCCTATACATAGTGCCCACTTCCTACCCCCCCCCCCCCCCCCCCCCCATTACTCCCTTCCCATCCCTCCTATACATAGTGCCCACTTCCTACCCTCCCCCATTACCACCTATCCCGCCCACTATACATAGTGCCCTCTTTCTACCTACCTATTCCCCTAATCATAGTGCCCGCTTCCTACACCCATTATCCCCTTCCCCCACCCTTCTTCCCACCTCGTTACCCCCTTCCCATCTCATTCACAGCGCCCTCTTCCTACTCCACTCCCCTCTCTCGTATATATATGTACCCCCCCCCCCTCCCCCCACTACACATGGTGCCCACTTCCTTCCCCCATGCAGGGTTGGTATGTGTGTGGGGGGGGGGGGGGGGGGTTATGATTTTTGTTGCGTGTTCCCTGTGGTATTACCTTGCCGGCTGCGGTACTTGGCGTAGCAGACGCAGAGCACGGCGGCCCCCGCGGACACCCCGAGAGCCAGCGCCACCTTCTGTCTGGTGCTGAGATTGCTCCAGCTGGCCATGGCGGCACCGACAGAGACCTGCGGATAAAAGTGGAGTGTTGGGAGCAGAATGGAGGGACCCGGGTGACTGAAGAGAAGCCCCAGAACCCGCGAGGGAGGGCGGAGCCAGTGTCACAGCCACTTCACTCCAGGGCTGTCCCTCTCCGCCATGGAGTCTCACTCCTCCTGCTCCGTTCTCCAGGACTAAAAATGAGCTATTGGCAGGGGGAGGAGCCGGGAGAGAAGCTGGAGGGCGGGATTAATGTGGGAAAGATGGTATGATGATGAGAGCGCCTTACGGCTGCTGAAAAATTGATGGGCAAAGAGAGAGGAGTATTACCCCAGGATGGGGGCAGTAAACCACCCCAACAGGGTCACATGACCACCCCTCTGTATACATGGGGGGGAGGGGGGGGTCATATACCAGGGTCACATGACCACCCCTCTGTATACATGGGGGGGGTTCATATACCAGGGTCACATGACCACCCCTCTGTATACATGGGGGGGTCATATACCAGGGTCACATGACCACCCCTCTGTATACATGGGGGGGTCATATACCAGGGTCACATGACCACCCCTCTGTATACATGGGGGGGGGGGTCATATACCAGGGTCACATGACCACCCCTCTGTATACATGAAGGGGGGGGGGAATCATATACCAGGGTCACATGACCACCCCTCTGTATACATGGGGGGTCATATACCAGGGTCACATGACCACCCCTCAGTATACATGGGGGGGGGGAATCATATACCAGGGTCACATGACCACCCCTCTGTATACATGGGGGGGGAATCATATACCAGGGTCACATGACCACCCCTCTGTATACATACATGGGGGGGGTCATATACCAGGGTCACATGACCACCCCTCTGTATACATGGGGGGGGAATCATACCAGGGTCACATGACCACCCCTCAGTATACATGGGGGGTCATATACCAGGGTCACATGACCACCCCTCAGTATACATGGGGGGGGTCATATACCAGGGTCACAGGACCACCCCTCTGTATACATGGGGGGGGTCATATACCAGGGTCACATGACCACCCCTCTGTATACATGGGGGGGGAATCATACCAGGGTCACATGACCACCCCTCAGTATACATGGGGGGTCATATACCAGGGTCACATGACCCCCTCAGTATACATGGGGGGGAGGGATATACCAGGGTCACAGGACCACTCCTCTGTATACATGGGGGGGTCATATACCAGGGTCACATGACCACCCCTCAGCATACATGGGGGGGGGGGGGGGGGAATCATATACCAGGGTCACATGACCACCCCTCTGTATACATGGGGGGGGGAATCATATACCAGGGTCACATGACCACCCCTCAGCATACATTGGGGGGGGGGAAATCATATACCAGGGTCACATGACCACCCCTCAGTATACATGGGGGGTCATATACCAGGGTCACATGACCACCCCCCCCCCCGGGGTCTCACACCCTATTAGGTCTGATAGAAACTCACCCGCCGGGACAGCCACAGTAGACTAAACCCGGCTCGGGTTCTCCCGCTATTTAATATCTCTGTACCGCCCACTTCCGGGTGTACCAAGATGGCGGCCGCTCCGAGCATGCGCTGTTTGCATAGGAGGGAGGAGGAGCCAAAGAGGAGCCGAGGAGAGACTTGTGTGTGTCTGGAGCCGCCGCGCAGTGACCACTCTGGGGTAAGTACCGGGTGTATTACCTCCCCATCCCCCATCATACCCTATACCCAGCACCCCGCCCCCACCCTCTACACCGCGCCCCTTCTATTCCCCATCCCCTTACAATGCCCGCCTCCTCTCTCCCCCACCCCCCCTCGGGACACCCACCTGCCGCGGGTCGGTCCTGTTTCTGCCCTCCGGCCGGGTTAGTCGGTGTCTATGGTTGGCTCTGGGCGGCCATTTTCCCGGAGACCTCAGCTGGGTGAGTGTGGGCGGAGCTCGTCCTTTAGTGGGCGGGGATTGGAGAGCCTGTCACCATGGTTACCTGTAAGACCAACCTGTGAGGACCCTCCTGGGGTGTCCGGAGTCTTGCCTGAACCGAGAACAGACCCCCAAGACTGGGAGGCGGGGGAGAGGAAAGTGGATGGAGGGGAGAAAGGAGGGCTGAGCTCAGGCAGGAGGGGACAGCCTGCAGGGGGCCTCACTGCCTGACAGGGAGAGAATAGAAGGGAGTAACAGAGCATACAACTAATACCCCTGGGGAGGGGGGACCCCAACTAATCCCCTGGGGAGGGGGGACCCCAACTAATACCTCGGGGAGGGGGGACCCCAACTAATACCTCGGGGAGGGGGGACCCCAACTAATCTCCCTGGGGAGGGGGGACCCCAATTAATACCCTGGGGAGGGGGACCCCAACTAATACCCCCCAGAGAGGTGGGACCCCAACTAATACCTCGGGGAGGGGGGACCCCAACTAATCCCCTGGGGAGGGGGGACCCCAACTAATACCTCGGGGAGGGGGGACCCCAACTAATACCCTGGAGAGAGGGACCCCAACTAATACCCTGGGGAGGGGGACCCCAACTAATACCCTGGGGAGGGGGGACCCCAATTAATCCCCTGGGGAGGGGGACCCCAACTAATACCCTGGGGAGGGGGACCCCAACTAATCCCCTGGGGAGGGGGGACCCCAATTAATACCCTGGGGAGGGGGACCCCAACTAATACCCCGGGGGGGGGACCCCAACTAATACCCCGGAGAGGGGGGTCCCAACTAATCCCCCGGGGAGGGGGGACCCCAACTAATACCCTGGGGAGGGGGACCCCAACTAATACCCCCAGAGAGGGGGGACCCCAACTAATACCTCGGGGAGGGGGGACCCCAACTAATACCCTGGGGAGGGGGGGCCCCAACTAATCCCTCAGGGAGGGGGGCCCCAACTAATACCTCGGGGAGGGGGGACCCCAACTAATACCCTGGAGATGGGGGACCCCAACTAATACCCTGGGGAGGGGGACCCCAACTAATACCTCGGGGAGGGGGGGCCCCAACTAATACCCCGGAGAGGGGGGCCCCAACTAATACCTCGGAGACGTGGGGCCCTAACTAATACCTCGGAGAGGGGGGCCCAACTAATACCCTGTAATACCCTGGGGAGGGGGGCCCAAACTAATACCTCGGGGAGGGGGGCCCAACTAATACCCTGGAGAGGGGGGCCCCAACTAATACCCCGGGGAGGGGGACCCCAACCAATACCCCAGGGAGGGGGGACCCCAACTAATACTTCGGGGAGGGGGACCCCAACTAATACTTTGGGGAGGGGGGTCCCCAACTAATACTCCAGAGAGGGAGGACCCAAACGAATCCCCCGGGGAGGGGGACCCAAAATCCCCCGGGGAGGGGGAACCCCAAATAATACCCCGGAGAGGGGGGCCCAAACTAATCCCCCGGGGGGGGGACCCCAACTAATACCCCGGAGAGGGGGGGTACCAACTAATATCCCGGGGAGGGGGGACCCCAACTAATACCCCGGAGAGGGGGGACCGCAACTAATACCCTGGGGAGGGGGGACCCCAACTAATACCCTAGGGAGGGGGACCCCAACTAATACCTCGAGGAGGGGGACCCCAACTAATACCCCGGAGAGGGGGGCCCAAACTAATCCCCTGGGGAGGGGGGACCCAACTAATACTCCGGAGAGGGGGGTACCAACTAATACCCCGGAGAGGGGGACTCCAACTAATACCCCGAAGAGGGGGACTCCAACTAATACCCTGGGGAGGGGGGACCCCAACTAATACCCTAGGGAGGGGGACCCCAACTAATACCTCGAGGAGGGGGACACCAACTAATACCCTGAAGAGGGAGGCCCCAACTAATACCCTAGGGAGGGGGACCCCAACTAATACATCGGGGAGGGGGACCCCAACTAATCCCCCGGGAAGGGGGGACCCCAACTAATACCCTGGAGAGGGGGTGCCCCAAATAATACCCTGGGGAGGGGGACCCCAAATAATACCCCTGCGGAGGGGGACCCCAACTAATACCCAGGAAAGCAGGGGCCCCAACTAATACCCTGGAGAGGGGAGGACCCCAACTAATATCCCCGTGGAAGGAAGACTCCAGCTATTATCCCGGGGAGGGTGGAACCCCAACTAATACCCCCAGAGAGGGGGGACCCCAGATAATACCCTGGGGAGGGTGGGACTCCAACTAATACCTCCGGGGAGGGGGGACCCCAGATAAAACCCTGGGGAGGGGGGACCCCAACTAATACCCCAAGAGAGGGGCGACCCCAACTTAATACCTTCGGGGAGGCGAGGACCCCAACTAATACCTCAGAGAGGGGAGGACCCCAACTAATATCCCCGGGGAAGGGGGACTCCAGCTATTATCCCAGGGAGGGGGGGGACCCCAACTAATACCCCCAGAGAGGGGGGACCCCAACTAATACTTTGGGGAGGAGTGACCCCAGATAATACCCTGGGGAAGGGGGTACCCCCACTAATACCCCAAGAGAGGGGGGACCCCAGATAATACCCTGAGGAGGGGGGGGACCACAACTAATACCCCCAGAGAGAGAAGCCCCGACTAATACCCTGGGGAGGAGGGACCCCTACTAATACCCCCAGAGGGGGGGACCCCTACTAAATACCCACCACTGATCACTTCTATTTACATAATATCTGTATTCAGTACCCAGATTACCTCTTCATACCCCAATTAGCCCCTCCCCCATCCCTCCTATACATACTGCCCTCTTCCTACTCCCATCACCCCCCTCCTCTATCCATCCTATCCCGTCCTATACTTACCGCCCTCTTTTTACCCCCCTATTAGCCCCCTTCCCCCACAGATCATCCCTTCTGCCCACCTCTTACCTTTTGCCCCTCCCTCTCTGAATGCTCACTGCCCCCATCCAACTCCCTTCCCTCCCCCTCCCCCTTCATACATGCATCCTCCCAATGCCCCATTACCCCCCTCCTCCCTCCCTCATACCCCTCCTTCGCTCCTGCCCCCCTCCCCCTACACCCTGGGGAGGGGGGGAGGGGACTGTTTGATGTAATGAGCATATGGTGACATCTGATGTCCATTTTGTGTCTCTCCCCAGTGCCGGTTCCACCATGGAAGGAGACCTGGCCAGGCTGGTGTGGAGGCCGGGTCTGGAGGCCTCGCCCCCTTCCGTTGTCACCGACCTGGAGGTGAAGATTGGCTCTCTGGTCACCTTACTTCTCCTGACCCTCATCAGCGGCCTGATCCCCCTCTTCCTGCTACGCCGCCAGGGGAGCACCGACCTCCTGAGTAAGAAACGGGGTCAGAGGGCCATACAATGGACGAGGGGCGCATGGGCAACCCCTATATTCATCCTCCTATAGCAGCCATGACGGTCTCCTTCTAATTTCTGAATTTCGATATCTCCGCAGGTTCCCGTCGCAGGGCGTTGAGTCTAATCAGCTGCTTTGCCGGCGGCGTCTTCCTGGCGACCTGCCTGCTGGACCTGCTGCCTGACTACCTCTCCGGTATCAATGAGGCGCTCGGCAAGTTGAATATAACGGTGAGTATGACCCGTCTATACATTCCAATGCCCCTCCCCCCCCCCCCCAAAGGTGAGGTGGTTGTGGTTTAGTGGCCTAATCCAGATTTCCGGCTTCTCTCCCCGGCAGCTCCAGTTCCCTCTGCAGGAGTTCATCTTGGCCATGGGGTTCTTCCTGGTTCTGGTCTTGGAGCAGATCGTGTTGAGCTACAAGGACCAGCCGGGCCTATCGAAGAGACTCACTCCCTCCTGGCCTCGGAGGTCCGCCATTCCGGTCTGGACCAGCCGCACGTACACGTGGACGTCAACGCGCACTCGGCGGTGAGGGCGGTCATCCTGGTCATGTCCCTCTCTCTGCATTCCGTTCTGGAGGGGCTGGCGGTCGGCCTCCTGCGGGAGAGCGGGAAAGTCCTGGAGACCTGCCTGGCCCTCCTCATCCACAAGTGCATCATCTCCTTCAGCTTGACCTTGAAGCTGGGCCAGGGCCGCCTACGTCCTCGGGTCATCCTGGGCTGCCTTCTGCTCTTCTCCTTCATGACACCTCTGGGCATCGGCATTGGGGTGGCTCTGACGGAGTCTTCCGACCCCTTGCACCACTGACCCGCAGCGTTCTGGAGGGCATCGCCACCGGCACCTTCTTGTACATCACCTTCCTGGAGATCCTGCCTCACGAACTGAGTTCTGGCGACCAACGCATCGGCAAGGTCGTGGTCATGCTATGCGGCTTCTCGGTCATCACCGCCATCTTGTTTATCAAGATCTAAGATGAGTTGTATACAGGACGTTTCCATCTTACCCCTCCCCCTTCCTGAACACTGATGGCAAAGATGGCTAAACAATGGTCATAGAAAAGGACTGATCCATTAGCAGACCTATCATGGCTCCTCATCCACAAGTGTATCATCTCCTTCAGCTTGACCTTGAAGCTAAGCCAGGGCCACCTAAGTCCTTGGGTCATCCTATGCTGCCTTCTGCTCTTCTTTTTCATGAAACCTCTGGGCATTGGCTTTGGGGTGGCCCTAATGAAGTTCTCCGACTCCTTGCACCAGCTGACTGGTACTGTCCAGGAGGTCATCACCACCGACACTGTCTTGTACCTCACCTTCCTGGAGATCCTGCTTCCCAAGCATCCACAAAGTCAGAGTGATGCAGCGGGGCTTCTCGGTCATCACTGCCATCTTGTTTGTCAAGATCTAGGATGGGTTCAGGACGTTGCCATCTCACCTCTTCCCCTTCCTGAACACAAACTGCAACAATGGCTGAACAATGGTAATAGAAAAAGTGTATCAAGTGTATCATCTCCTTCAGCTTGACCATGAAGCTGGGCCAGGGGCACCGAAGTCCTTGGGCCATCCTAGGCTGCCTTCTGCTCTTCTTTTTTATGACCCTTATTGGCTTGGGGTGGCCTTGACAAAGTCCTCTGACCCCTGTCACCAGCTGACTCACAATGTCCTGGAGGACATCATCACCGACACCTTCTTGTACCTCCCGTTCCTAGAGATCCTGCCTCACGACCATCCACAAAGTCAGAGTGATGCGGCGGGGCTTCTTGGTCATCAATGCCATCTTTTTTGCCAAGATCTAGGATGGGTTCAGGACGTTACCATATCACCTCTTCCCCTTCCTGAACACAAACTGCAACAATTGGCTTGGGGTGGCCTTGACAAAGTCCTCTGACCCCTGTCACCAGCTGACTCACAATGTCCTGGAGGACATCATCACCAACACCTTCTTGTACCTCCCGTTCCTGGAGATCCTGCCTCACAAGCATCCACAAAGTCAGAGTGATGCTGCGGGGCTTCTCGGTCATCAATGCCATCTTGTTTGCCAAGATCTAGGATGGGTTCAAGACGTTACCATATCACCTCTTCCCCTTCCTGAACACAAACTGCAACAATTGGCTTGGGGTGGCCTTGACAAAGTCCTCTGACCCCTTTCACCAGCTGACTCACAATATCCTGTAGGATATCATCACCGACACCTTCTTGTACCTCCCGTTCTTGGAGATCCTGCCTCACGAACATCGGCAAGGTCTGTTGGGCTTCCCAGTCATCGCCACCATCTTGTTTATCAAGATCTAGAATGGGTTATAGAGGGAACATTTCCATCTCATCTCTCTTCCTCGAACACTGATGGTCAAAGAAAAGGACCAACCTATGAGCAAGACCTTTCATGGCTCCTCATCCACAATTGTATCATCTCCATCAGCTTGACCATGAAGCTGAGCCAGGGCCACTGAAGTCCTTGGGCCATCCTAGGCTGCCTTCTGCTCTTCTTTTTTATGACCCCTATTGGCATCGGCCTTGGGGTGGCCTTAACAAAGTCCTCTGACCCCTTTCACCAGCTGACTCACAACTCAGAATGTCCTGGAGGACATCGTCACCGACACCTTCTTGTACCTCCCATTCCTGGAGATCCTGCCTCACGAACATCGGCAAGGTCTGTTGGGCTTCCCAGTCATCGCCACCGTCTTGTTTATCAAGATCTAGAATGGGTTATAGAGAGACCGTTTCCACCTCACCTCTCTTCCTTGAACACTGAAGGTCAAAGAAAAGGACCAACCTATGAGCAAGACCCACCATGGCTCCTCAACCATCTAAAGACCCAAACCAAGTTTAATTCTGGACCATTACCAGCAAAGTTCCCCTTAGCCCTTGAAAAATGGAGTTGCTCCTCCGTCTTTGGAAGAAAGAGAGACCCTTTTTTGATGGTGCTTTGCAAAAGGGACATTTTCACCGCATTTTGATTTTGGTTTCCTCTGGCCTGGAGGGAACTCAGGAGTCAAGCTGCCAACAGGCCTAAAAATGATCAAGTTGGGCACCCAACTATTTAAAGCTTCTGTCTCTTTGGCCACCCACCTTAAAAAATCCAATTTTGAGCCCATTGATGCTCCCTTTCATCTCTCTATCGATTTGTCGGAATCCTTGGAAGGTACCAGGTTCCTCCAGGTATGGTGGAGCTTTGAATCTCCCAAGCTGTGGTGATCTGATTGACTAGGCCCGAAAACTGATTAATCTTGGATAGACTCCAACATGGGGCTGACCAGGGGCGGAACTGACCATTTGGAGGGCCCGGGGTCAGTAGGGGGCCCCATGAGATGCCCCTGGTTTTCATAGGCTTTTGTGAGTTTGGGCAAGGACACAGGGGCCTCATGATCCCCTATTGCCCGGGGGCCCCATGAGTTGTCAGTCCACCCCTGGGGCTGACACAGGGGTTAGATCAGTAGTGGGGGGAAGGGAGGTATCCGTGGGCGGGGCAGAAACTTACCAAGAGATTCACGAATGGACAAATGGACGTCCCCTTTAACAAATGCCAGCTTTCCCTTGTTCCTTAAAGGAGAACAACCGACGTAAGATGAAGAATTTCGAGCAATTTGGTCATTGTGACATCACTCACCTTGGTCCCGCTCAAAGGTTCACCTCTGCGATTTTCTGCTGTTCCATTTGGCCAAAAAAAACTTTATTGTTCCAGCTCTGCTGAGGACGCTCCACCCAGCTCTTCTCACTGACTCATCTCGCCCCCCTGCTGGGGCTTTATTGTGTGCAAAAAGGCATAAAAATAACTCGACAGAGATGATAAAAGTCGCTTGCCATAGATAAGAAGACTCCCGAGACAATCGTGGGCTTTATTTTGGACCCTTCGCACATATTTCTACTATTGTTTCCTTTCGGCCTTTGCCTGTTTAGGTTGGGTTTACTCCATCGATGCTCATAGTGGGTTGAGCCCCTTTATAAAAAAAAAAAAAGTAAACTTTATTGTCCCTACGCTTTTGAGAAAACTTCACCCAGCTCCGCCCTCTAAAATGTTTCGTCCCCCCTACCCAGGCTAAATGATATGACGTAAGCCCCAGCGTCAGGAGAGAAGCTGATTGGGGGGGTCCTCAACAGTGCTGGAACAACGAATCGTGAGCGGGAAGACTGGAGGCTATGGGTGGAGCCAGTAGAGAAATGTGGATCCGTAGGGCATACACGAGACCGGCTGGCCCACCTGTATCACCGCTGGAGATTGTGGGCGGAGCCAGTAGAGAAATACGGCTCCGTAGGGCATACACGGGACCCGCTGGCCCACCTGTAACACCGCTGGAGATTGTGGGTGGAGCCTGTAGAGAAATATGGATCTGTAGGGCATACACGGGACCGGCTGGCCCACCTGTATCACCGCTGGGGATCGTGGGCGGAGCCAGTAGAGAAATATGGATCCGTAGGGCATACACGGGACCGGCTGGCCCACCTGTATCACCACTGGAGACTGGGCGGGGCTAGTGAGGGAATACAGCTCTTTACCACGTACACGGTATCGGTTCGCGACGGTTGCAGCTCCTCGACATATTAGTCTTGAGTATACTCTAGTGCGCAGATTGTAATCCAAAAGGAAGAGGGCGCCACCATCCAAGTGCAGCCAATCCCAAGCCTCCAGGTCTGCAGTGATAGCGTGGTCACAGAGGGCACCACCATCCAAGTGCAGCCAATCCCAAGCCCCAGGTCTGCAGTGATAGCGTGGTCCCGCCACAGAGGACGCCACCCTCCAAGTGCAGCCAATCCCAAGCCTCCAGGTCTGCAGTAATAGCGTGCCCACAGAGGACGCCACCCTCCAAGTGCAGCCAATCCCCCCCAGGTCTGCAGTGATAGCGTGCCCACAGAGGACGCCACCCTCCAAGTGCAGCCAATCCCAAGCCCCAGGTCTGCAGTGATAGCGTGCTCACAGAGGGCGCCACCATCCAAGTGCAGCCAATCCCCAGGTCTGCAGTGATAGCGTGGTCAGAGAGGATGCCACCCTCCAAGTGCAGCCAATCCCAAGCCCCAGATCTGCAGTAATAGCGTGCCCACAGAGGACGCCACCATCCAAGTGCAGCCAATCCCAAGCCCCAGGTCTGCAGTGATAGCGTGCCCACAGATGGCGCCACCATCCAAGTGCAGGCTTCAGGGTAGTCCTCCACAGGGGCATAGGGAAGGAAGACGTGACGTCACAGCTCCAGGGGCATTATGGGAAGGAAGATGGAGGCGGCAGCCATGATGGATCGGTGGCTTCATCCTCCTACAGGGTAGTCATGTGACGTCACAGCTCCAGGGGCATTATGGGAAGGAAGATGGAGGCGGCAGCCATGATGGATCGGTGGCTTTATCCTCCTTCAGCCAAGCCCAGATATCGTTTTATTCCCGGAAAACATTATAAACGAGCAACTGCAATGCTATTGGCCAGTCACACCGATAGGCCCGCCCCCCGAGGTTCCAGCACAGAAAGTGAAGGGAAATCTCTCCAGAAGGGACGCCGCATTTAAAACCTTCTCATTTCTATCACGTTTTTCGTCCGGAGCTCATCTTTAATCGGGTGTTCGGGATTGGAGGAGACGTCCACAGGTGACCAATCGCCGTACAATCTGATTGTACAACCTCCTTTTAGTCAGTGGCGCGAGGGCCTCCCTGATTGGACGCACATCCTCCCTGATGGGACGCACATCCTCCCTGATGGGACGCACATCGATTCACGTATTACGCAGCCTCGGATCTGAAGCAGATTTGTACAATCAGATTGTATGGTGTATGGCCGCACGAGATCGTATTATTCACCAGCACTAACCGACTGATTTATTATAACCGATCGATATCGTAGATTTTTTAGATTTTTTTTTTTGTCGTTCTCGCATATCGAATTTCTACATTTTATATATTTGCAGTAAAGCGTAAAAAAATAATAAAAAGTCGATTTTCGCCCCCCAAAATAGATCGGGGTTCAAAGGTCACGTAACAGGCCGGCGACAAACATGCGCACAACGTTTCCGAGGGCGCTTTGTCGGTGGAGCTTTTCGTACCGCGAAACCGCCTCCACGTTCGTTCTTTGCCAATGGAGGAAAAAATCGAATGTTATCGGGCCGCTTCCTCGCCTGGTCGAATGTCCTTCATGAAATCGAGCGATTCGGGGCAATACCACATCACAGCCACAAGATGGCGCCAACGTAGTATTTTCGATGATTGACAGCTCCCTCTACTGGACAGATGCGGTATTCCCCCCCATCGGCTCTGTTCTTTATACATGAATAACGTTCGACCTGCAGAGGAGATCGCCCGGAGACGTCGGATTGGCACAGAGCGGATGTGGGCGGGTCTTCGCGGGATGAACAGACCCCACAATGTGTATTACAGAAGCACAAACAGAAGATCGTTTTATATCTGCGATTGCACAGATGGAAGAAAATCGCGGTGCGGCGGGCGATCTGCCGCCGTTTTTCCGTTGGATAGTTTGTAGAGTTTTTGAGATGAAAGATTTGTATTTCCTGCAGACGGCGAGACGATGTACACGAGGGATGTTTGTAATAAACCGGAAATTGGAATTCTGTGTCTGGACTCGTTTATTGGGGGGAGGGGGGGGGGTTAGCTGACCATACACTGGACAATCTGATTGGACAATCTCCTGTAGCTGAACTAACATTGATGCAGTGTGGGGGGGGGGGGGGGGGGGGGGGGCCCGAGGTACAAGGTGAATGGATTGTTTACATTTCCCTTCTAACAGAGATTGTACAACCAGATTGTAACGTGTGTGGGTCACCCCGGGGGGGGGGGGCGGCAGTTGTACATGGCTGACATTTACATTAATTACTGGAGTATGGGGGACTCTGATGTAAGGGGGGGCTCTGATACAGTCTCTGGTGTAAGGGGGGACTCTGGTGGGAAGCTTGATGTAAGGGGGGGGGGGGGCTCTGATAGGGACACTGATGTAGAGGGAAGTTGCTAGGGACTCTGATCAAAGGGGGAGTCCAATTGGGACCCTGATGTAAGGTGGGCTTTGATGTAAGGGGGGACTCTGATGGGAACCCTGATGTAAGAAGAACTCTGATGTAAGGGGAACTCTGATAGGGACTCTGATGTAAGGGGGACTGTGATGTAAGGGGGCACTCTGATGGGAACCCTGATGTAAGGGGGACCCTGATAGGGACTCTGATGGGAACCCTGATGTAAGGGGGACCCTGATAGGGACTCTGATGTAAGTGGGGACTCTGGTGGGGACTCTGATGGGAACCCTGATGTAAGGGGGGACTCTGATGTAAGGGGGACTCTGATAGGGACTCTGATGTAAGGGGGGGACTCTGATGGGAACCCTGATGTAAGGAGGACTCCTCTGCTGTACACAGCTGTTGGTGGATTGAAATGATATCGTCCAATCAGATTGCAGCGTGTGGCCATTGTGAGGCTCCTTCCTGATTGCAGCGTTGCCATGGAAGCAGAGGACTCCGGATCGGACGCAACAAATTGCCGGAAAGCAGGAAAAACGCGCCGAGTGCACTGCAGGAACGCACGTCGGGGCACAGCCGGGGGAGCGAACCCAAGCTTTAACGCCCCCCCCACACCAAACCGCACCATGCCGCAACACGTGGCGCAATTTCGAAAAAAATTGCACGTTTCTCACACATGAAGACGAATGGGCCCCCGACATGTGACGTGTGGAAGACGAATGGGCCCCCGACATGTGAAGTGTGGAAGACGAATGGGCCCCCGACATGTGAAGTGTGGAAGACGAATGGGCCCCCCGACATGTGACGTGTAGAAGACGAATGGGCCCCCGACATGTGACGTGTGGAAGGTGAATGGGCCCCCGACATGTGACGTGTGGAAGACGAATGGGCCCCCGACATGTGAAGTGTGGAAGACGAATGGGCCCCCGACATGTGAAGTGTGGAAGACGAATGGGCCCCCGACATGTGACGTGTAGAAGACGAATGGGCCCCCGACATGTGACGTGTGGAAGACGAATGGGCCCCCCGACATGTGACGTGTAGAAGACGAATGGGCCCCCCCGACATGTGACGTGTGGAAGACGAATGGGCCCCCCGACATGCGACGTGTGCAAGACGAATGGGCCCCCCGACATGCGACGTGTGGAAGACGAATGGGCCCCCCGACATGCGACGTGTGGAAGACGAATGGGCCCCTGACATGCGACGTGTGGAAGACGAATGGGCCCCCCTACATGTAACGTGTAGAAGACGAATGGGCCCCCGACGTGACGTGTGGAAGACGAATGGGCCCCCCCCGACATGCGACGTGTGGAAGACGAATGGGCCCCCCCGACATGTGACGTGTAGAAGACGAATGGGCCCCCGACATGTGACGTGTGGAAGGTGAATGGGCCCACCGACATGCGACGTGTGGAAGACGAATGGGCCCCCCCGACATGCGACGCGTGGAAGACGAATGGGCCCCCCGACGTGACGTGTGGAAGACGAATGGGCCCCCCGACGTGAAGTGTGGAAGACAAATGGGCCCCCCGACATGCGACGTGTGGAAGACAAATGGGCCCCCCGACATGTGACGTGTGGAAGACGCATGGGCCCCCCGACATGCGACGTGTAGAAGATGAAGGGGCCCCCTGCCGTGACGTGTGGAAGACGAATGGGCCCCCCGACATGCGACGTGTGGAAGACGAATGGGCCCCCCGACATGTGACGTGTGGAAGACGCATGGGCCCCCCGACATGCGACGTGTAGAAGATGAATGGGCCCCCCGACATGTGACGTGTGGAAGATGAATGGGCCCCCCGCCGTGACGTGTGGAAGACGAATGGGCCCCCCGACATGCGACGTGTGGAAGACGCACGGGGGCCCCCCGACATGCGACGTGTGGAAGACGAATGGGCCCCCCGACATGCGACGTGTGGAAGACGCACGGGCCCCCCGACATGTGACGTGTGGAAGATGAATGGGCCCCCCGACATGTGACGTGTGGAAGACGCACGGGCCCCCCGACATGTAACGTGTGGAAGATGAATGGGCCCCCCGACATGTGACGTGTGGAAGACGCACGGGCCCCCCCCCGACATGTGACGTGTGGAAGATGAATGGGCCCCCCGACATGTGACGTGTGGAAGACGCACGGGCCCCCCCGACATGTGACATGTGTGGAAGACGCACGGGCCCCCCGACATGCGACGTGTGGAAGACGAATGGGCCCCCCGACATGCGACGTGTGGAAGACGCACGGGCCCCCCGACATGTGACGTGTGGAAGATGAATGGGCCCCCCGACATGTGACGTGTGGAAGACGCACGGGCCCCCCGACATGTAACGTGTGGAAGATGAATGGGCCCCCCGACATGTGACGTGTGGAAGACGCACGGGCCCCCCGACATGTGACGTGTGGAAGACGCACGGGCCCCCCGACATGTGACGTGTGGAAGACGCACGGGCCCCCCCGACATGTAACATGTGTCTCAATGCGCTTTTGATCGATTTTTGCGTCAAACATTTTAAACGCATTAAAAAAAATCATCCGGATTGACTTTCCCCGCAGACTTGGCCGAGTCGCCTTCTGTGATGGAGCGCAGTCCAGGGGGGGGTCCTGGGGGAGAGGAGGGACGGGGATGACGGTGGAATTCCTGGATTGTGGGAGGGGCCGGGGGCGGGCCCGAGTTGGAAGTGACTCAGATTTCAAGGGTTGGTCCTCTAAGAAGGAGATCCGTGCTGAAGGCTCACATTGTGCCGACCGACTCCGAACAGATCGACCTCCCCGAGGTGAGTCTCCCCGCCGCCCGGGCCCCCCGCATGTGGCGGCACCAGGGGGGCCCCAAAACATTGCTGCGTCTTTTCTGACTTCTCAACCCCTTCCAGCCAATCAGAAAGCAGATTTTCACGCCCCGTAAAGTCGAACTTTGGGCTGCGGGGAGGAAAAACAAACTGGGTGGGGTGGAAAAATTTCTGCCAGTTCCCCGTTGTTTGCTGATGGGTCCCGGGGAGGATCTGAAAGGAGCCCCCCCCTACACGCCGGTCGTTACATGCGCCCAATCTGGGGGCCCCTAGAATCGCTGGGGGCCACGCAGACCTTTCTAGAAGCCGAGGGAACGAAGGCGAGATTTATGGCCGGAGGAAACGTAAAACACAAATTGTTACATTGTTGCAACTTTTCTTTTTTTTTTCGCTAAACGATCGCAGTCATCGCCGCGTTTTGCGTGTCTTTCGGCTCCGTTACTCTCTACTTCCACCATATCGCCCTCTTACTTCCCTAGGTGGGCGGGGTTTGGCGATCGGTCGCGGGCGGGTTTGGCGGCTGCAGAGTGTCGCCGACCACACACGACGTTACAATGTTGCAACTTATCGATCGCAGGAATTGCTTCGTTTTCTGTCTTTTTCGCTCTTTTTCTGCCTGAAGGGCGGGGTTTGACGATCGGTAGCCGGGGGTGGGGTTTGCGAATGGATTTGGGGGGCGGTCGCGCCCGCAATGCACCGCCGACTGCGCGTGATTGAAAATTGCTACAATGTTGCAACTTTATCGATCGCAGGAATTGCCTCGTTTTCTGTCTTTTTTTGCTGTGTCGTGCCCCCCAAATTGCGCTCCACCTCTCCTAGGAGGGCGGGGTTTGACTTTCAGTCGCCGGGGGTGGGGTTTGCGAATTGATTTGGCCGATTGCGCGTGATTGACAATCGTTACAATGTTGCAAGTTATCGATCGCAGGAATTGCCTCGTTTTCTGTCTTTTGCGCTCTTTACTTTTGCTGTGGCGTGCCCCCCAAATTGCGCTCTACCTCTCCTAGGAGGGCGGGGTTTGACGATCGGTCGCCAGGGGTGGGGTTTGCAAATGGATTTGGGGGTCGGTCGCGCCCACAGATTGAAAATTGCTACAATGTTGCAACTTATTGATCGCAGGAATTGCCTCGTTTTCTGTCTTTTTTGCTGTTGCGTGCGTGCCCCCCAAATTGCGCTCTACCTCTCCTAGGAGGGCGGGGTTTGACTTTCAGTCGCCGGGGGTGGGGTTTGAGAATGGATTTGGCCAATTGTGCGTGATTGAAAATCGTTACAATGTTGCAAGTTATTGATCGCAGGAATTGCCTCATTTTCGCTCTTTACTTTTGCTGTGGCGTGCCCCCGCAAATTGCGCTCTACCTTCCCCTGAAGGGCGGGGTTTGACTATCGATCGCGGGGGGTGGGGTTTGCGAATGAATTTGGGGGGTTGCGCCCAAAGAGCACCACCGACTGCGCATGATTGAAAATCGCTGCAATGTTGCAATTTATTGATCGCAGGAATTGCTTCATTTTCTGTCTTTTTCGCTCTTTACTTTTGCTGCCCAAGTTGCGCTTTACCTCTCCTAGGTGGGCGGGGTTTGACTATCAGTCGCTGGGGGTGGAGGTTTGCGAATGGATTTGGGGGGCGGTCGCGCCTGCAGAGCACTGTGACTGTGCGTGATTGAAAATCGTTACAATGTTGCAACTTATTGATCGCAGGAATTGCCTCGTTTTCGGTCTTTTGCGCTCTTTACTTTTGCTGTTACGTTCCCCCCAAATTGCGCTCTACCTCTCCTAGGAGGGCGGGGTTTGACTATCAGTCGCCGGGGGGGTGGTTTGAGAATGGATTTGGGGGCGGTCGCGCCCGCTGAGGACCACCGACTGCGTTTGATTGAAAATCGTTACAATGTTGCAACTTATCGATCACATAAAATTGCCTCGTTTTCTGTCTTTTTCGCTCTTTACTTTTGCTGCCCAAATTGCGCTCTACCTCTCCTAGGTGGGCGGGGTTTGATGATCAGTCACCGGGGGGGGTGTGCGAATGGATTTGGGGGGCGGGGTCGCGCCTGCAGAGCACTGTGACTGCGCGTGATTGAAAATCGTTACAATGTTGCAAGTTATTGATTGGATGAATTGCCTCATTTTCTGTCTTTTCGTCTTACATTTGCTGCCCAAATTGCGCTCCCCCTCTCCTAGGTGGGCGGGGTTTGACTATCGGTCGCCGGAGGAGTGGTTTGCGAATTAATTTGGGGGCAGGGGGCGTGACCACGGAGTGTCACCAGCAACGCAAGGATTGGAAATTGTTACGACGCATCAACTTTTATTTCTAACCAATCGCCTTGTTTTGCGTCTCTTTCCGCCATATTGGCCCCCCAAATTGCGCTCTCCCTCTCCTAGGAGGGCGGGGTTTGACGATCGGTCGCCGGGGGTGGTCTGCGAATGGATTTGGGGGGCGGTCGCGCCCGCAGAGCACTGTGACTGCGCGTGATTGAAAATCGTTACAATGTTGCAACTTACAGATCGCATGAATCGCCCTGTCGTTCGCTCATTGGCTCTTTTACTTTCGCTGTTCTGCGCCCAAATTGCGTTCTTACCATCGCAGAAGGGTGGAGTTTGACCGCCGGTCGCGGGGGGTGGTCTGCGAATGGTTTTGGGGGCCGGTTGCGCTCATAGGTACGATTGAAAAATCATTACAACGTTGCAACTTTTATTCCTAACTGATCGCGGTTTTCGGTCTTTGTCGCCTTTTTTACTTTCGCCGATGTGCGCACCAAATTGCGCTCTTCCGTAAGTGGGTGTGGTTTGACGATCGGGCGCCGGGGGGGTCTGCCAACCGTGCAGGGATTGGGGTAGGATGACATCGGTGAGCAGCGCGGTCTTCACGGAGTTAATTTTGGTGAAATTGGGAAACTGCGGTCAGGTGGGCGGGCAGGCGCGATGTTGAGGGGGGGGCAGGCGCGATGTTGAGGGGGGGGGCAGGCGCGATGTTGAGGGGGGGGGGCAGGAAGGGGTTAATGGAGGACGGAGGGGGGGGGGGGGGGAAGTGTTGCAGAGACGTGTTGCGCACACACAGGCGGGACACACCCTGCACACAGCCCACAGAGCGCGCTCAGTACTCAGTCCGCTTAACCCCCTGCGCGCCGGGAGACGTGGAGGAGATCGCCGCGCTGCGCACAAATCACGCGAACGCCGCTCTTCTATTGGTCAGTTATGGAGGACTAAGTGTTCCTTAAAGGATCCGTCCACCTGAAAGTCAGGCAGGCGACTTCTGATAGGCTGGGTCACCCTTAGATTGCTTCGCCGCCCCAAATTCTCGCCCGCTTCGGGGTTTCGCGGCTCCCACGCCGCCGCCGGCCGCGTCCTCCCGGGATGGCGGGAATTCGCTTACCATGATACGGGATTTGTATGTCGCCGACAGGCATTGCAGCGATGTACAATAGACAGGGAGGCGGGACAGACGCAACGGATCAGAGGGGGCCCTGGGCCTCAGAGCTTACAATCTGAAGGCGGAGTCACGGGACACCGTTAGGTGGGTCTTCTCTGAATCCTGCGCCCAACCCTGAGGTACGGGTGAGCGCGCCGCAGGAGGACGATGCAACGGGTGAGCGCGCCGCAGGAGGACGATGCAACGGGTGAGCGCGCCGCAGGAGGAGGATGCAACGGGTGAGCGCGCCGCAGAGGAGAACGATGCAACGCCGCAGGAAGAGGATGCAACGGGTGAGCGCGCCGCAGGGGGACGATGCAACGGGTGAGCGCGCCGCAGGAGGAGATGCAACGGGTGAGCGCGCCGCAGGAGAACGGTGCAACGGGTGAGCGCGCCGCAGGAGGACGATGCAACGGGTGAGCGCGCCGCAGGAGGAGGATGCAACGGGTGTGAGCGCGCCGCAGGAGAACGATGCAACGGGTGAGCGCGCCGCAGGAGGAGGATGCAACGGTGCAACGGGCCGCAGGGGGGACGGTGCAACGGGTGAGCGCGCCGCAGGAGGACGGTGCAACGGGTGAGCGCGCCGCAGGAGGAGGATGCAACGGGTGAGCGCGCCGCAGGAGGAGGGTGCAACGGGTGAGCGCGCCGCAGGAGGAGGGTGCAACGGGTGAGCGCGCCGCAGGAGGAGGGTGGGCAACGGGGAGCGCGCCGCAGGAGGAGGGTGCAACGGGGGAGCACGCCGCAGGAGGAGGGTTCAACGGGTGAGCGCGCCGCAGGAGGAGGGTGCAACGGGGGAGCGCGCCGCAGGAGGAGGGTGCAACGGGTGAGCGCGCCGCAGGAGGAGGGTGCAACGGGTGAGCGCGCCGCAGGAGGACGATGTGTCCCGACATACACCATGCATTGTACAGAGGAGTGCTGTGGGTTGCTGAGTAGTCAGCTGTGGAAAATCAGCAGTTCTGGGGCTTTGTCTTGGGCTCCTCCCAGAGTGACGCTGTACATGTCCTGCATCCTGTGAACTGCTTCATGGCCGAGTGGTGGGCAGATGATTCCTTAAAGGGGGTCTCTGACCCCGTACAATGGTGGCTCTAACGGACCGATAACCGCAAGTCACGTGACACGGGGCAGGGTGAGCCACACCCAGGGGGAGTGACTTCCCATGTGTGCTCCAATCTGCTGCCTGCTCTGCTCCGCCCATAATTATTAGATCGTATTTATCCCTGAATGAGGGGTTCCCACCATCCCTGTGCTGAGTTCCCGGGTCTGTACCCCCGCCGTGCCCATTATGAGGGGTTCCCACCATCCCTGTGCTGAGTTCCCGGGTCTGTACCCCCGCCGTGCCCATTATGAGGGGTTCCCACCATCCCTGTGCTGAGTCCCATTTAGCTCTGGCACCCTTACAGTAGATCTCCCCCCCCCCTCCCTCTGTTGGGTTCATCCTCAGGCCGGGGGGCCGGTGATGGGTGGGGTGCGGGCCGGGGGCCGGTGATGGGGTGATGGGTGGGTGTGGCCCTCCTGGATTCCTGGGATGTTTGGAATGGATTGGAGGAATGCCAGAACCAATAGCCGCGCCCGGCTGACCCTGACATGGAGG